TTTATCACTCTCCAGAAAGTGTGTTTCTTCAAAGATGTATTACCAAAAATACTCTCTGATTACATGAGTTCATGTTTATTCACTTGTTTATCGTCAAATCTGTTCTTAGATTAAAATCCAATGCATAAAAATCAACTAACTTTAGACGCAATAGAAGGGTAATGGTAATTGTCGTGGCTGACTTAGAATGAAGTACAAACTACATAGCAGCAGCTATAAACTTTAAAAGTATGGTTCATACTTTTTATCCAACCAGGGAATACTGGGCTCATAGAAATGAATATCGACTCGAAGGCATATCTAAGTTGCTAGTATCAATCGTCTACCTTTCGCTGAATGCGGGCGCTCTCTACCGCGTTTTCTACCAGCCGAAACATATTTGTGTACTGAACTACGTATGTCAGTGTTTCAGTGTAGATTATACAATTTATTATTTGCTCTATTCTGATAGACACTACCATCATCCTTGTGGGTTATTGTCTGAACTTTTATACCTTACAGCAGGACAGACATGATAAGAGATTTGCGTAGAGAAATTTCAGTAGATCCAATAAAATAGAGATTCGTAAAAAAGTAAGAATATTATTAATCATGAACAATTTATTTTTCTTGACCAGAATATAATGAAATATTAACAGAAAGAGAAGTCTAACATGTTCTAACCTTTCTGTTAAAATCTAACAGACATAAGAGTAGAATAGATTAGAATTATAACAGAGCTGTTATATATCTCTGTTAACATTATAAATAAATTTGGACAAGTAAACATTTTCAATCCTCAAGCTATTGTGAATGAGTTCTGTTTCAATTAAATCCTGTTAAGTTTCAATGTTAAGTGGAAAATTTTATGTATAATAAAATTCTAATCAAAATTATATTTAAAGCTTCAAAACGTTTGTTTTAAGGGTAAATTGTGGTTTTCTTTACTAAAAATACATTCCCTTTTTGGCTATTTTTTTCCTAAACTTTTGGCCTCATTCTAAAAAAGTTAAGAAACATTTATTGTAGATTTTTTGCACATATTATGGGAGTAATTATTATTGTTTTCTTTTATTATTGTATCTAATTTCAATATAATTATATTTTAAAATAAAATAAATCATCTTTTATGTAGTTGTTATATATTTTATGTGATGTAATAAAAATATATTACAGATGCTTAATACAAATCGAATATATTGTGCTGAAAGCTGAAATTGTTTTACTCTCAAACATGGGGGATTACCACATCTAGAGCTTTTATTGATAAAATGTGATTATTTTGAACACAGCTGGCATTTTTCCACTTAAATAGAATAATATTCTTTTTTAAATATACGACATACAAGTAGTAAAAAATATTTATGTTATCTCTTAAAAGCGGCAGAACTTCAAATTGAGACTATCAGTAATTATATTTACAGACTTTACAGATATTCTAACAATGAAATTTGTATAAAATATAATATATAGTATATATGTGTCGATATAATTTTATGGATTCTATATTAATTGTAAATAATATTTCATAATACAAACGTGTAGGAGTGGATATAAATTTTCTTTAGATATATTAATATTATCTTATTCTTTAGATAAAAACTTCAACAATAAAAAACATTACATATTTGGATAAAGCTCTATATGCTATAAACTTAACACTTGCTGAATAAGTTATTTATTAGCAAATAAAAACAATGGGATATATAAGACATAGACTGAAAAACTTTTCAACAAACTTTTAGATAACATAGAATTTCTTTTAAACTTTTTTTAACTTATAAGAGCTTTTTAAAAACTTTATAAAGTACTGTCTATGTTAAAATTTATTCATTTAAATATATTAAAAGCTTTAGAGCATACGCGGGCTAAGGTAGGACTTGTCGGTCAATCAATTGTTTAATTAATACTAAACTATGCCTTATAATAGCCATAGCATATTTCGTGTTAATCATGCCTTAAAGGTGATATTCGAACTGACACAGAGACAGCAGCCGCTTCTGTCATCCTGACAAAATAGCTTCTAAAATCGTCTTGTCATTTTTGATTACAACGCATATTTTTAGCTCACGTTAATGCCTCCAATATTTATGCCACTTGAAATATAATACGTCCACAACACAGAAGGTTAAGGTGAACTCTATTCGAAATCTTATCCCGTTTTTTCGATCAAAATGTATAACTTGAATTTAATTTATAACACTCTAGATATTTTGCTAGAGTAATAAGATTACCCTGAAATTAACAGCTGATTTGTATGGTTTGACAGATAAAGCATGTTTTGATTCGACATATGTATGTATTTATGAAAAATATAAATGCTTATGTAAATGAAAAAGCCTTTGATTACTCTAAAAATGATCTATTTTGTAACAAATTTGACAGATCTAAATTGAAACAGAATTAAATCTAGATTGAATTTACTTTTAACTTTTTTTCACTATACTATATGCCGGTATATATGTATGTCTTTAGAAGTCGAGATCAAAATTTACATTGATTACTCCAAAAAATTAATTACATGCGCCACCTAACGCCAAGTTTTGCAAGTCTTACATTCGATACTGTATAGCAATACTATATAAAATTCTGTAAAGCAATTGTCAAAGTTTCTTGAAATATATCTATATTGATATTCATAAAGTCAATGGTAGCAGATTTTATTCTCTATTCTCCATACTCTTCTTATTTTATTTATAATATAAAATACAAATGAATTATATCTGATAAAAATATATTGATAAAAAATAAATATTACATTTATTATTATTTTATGCCGCAATGAATTTTTGAATGGGTTGTGTGCTGAGCTATTAGCAAAACTTCATTTCAAAGCTTTTTGCTAAAAGCTCTTTCTAATTATGAAAAGCTTTTGAGCAAACTTTCTGTAATAAAAAAAAAATTTATAAAATAATTCTGTTTCCACATTTTAACGCTTGGACCTTTGACCTACATCAATTGTTTATTTCTTACAGATATTTTACAATTGAATTTAAAGTATATATATTTATATATATAAATATATTTATAAATATTGTAGTATTTAGATTTCCGCTGAAAGTTCAAAAAATATTGTTTATTGCTCAATTTTTTAGCGTTTGAATTTCATACTTAAATGATTTTTTATTCAATTTTATTTACATAACCTTGACTACTTATGAATAATTAGACGCTCTGAGAATGCCGCTGGAAATCTATAGGAATCCCCTCTATACAGCGTAGAGGCCGCATAATTAAGTATGCAATCGATTGAAATGAAAGAGAAACGCAAAAAGATGAAAACGGTTTTAATTATGAATCATGTGGTGCTTGGGCTGTGCAGGTGAGACTCGGAACTGTAAACTGATTCATAAACATTTCAATAAAATTATTTAGAAAATACAAATGAACAATAAGAGTGCAGATATGACAGTCATGGGTGATTTGCCAGAGCGCTACGATAAGTATTTTCTGTTTGACATTTCATGGAACAACAAGTGAGTAATAATCTTCAGTGATGTATTGAGAAATATAGGTATACATATAAATAATGAATTTATGATAATTACCTATAATAATATAATTTCTATTAGAAGATATATTTTATATACATGGATATTTAGTGAATTAAGTTGAATTTATTTTATTTAAATTAAATTTTAGTTTTGAACTTAACTGTTCTACTAATTAAAAAAATAATTGAAAATGGACTTCGAACACCATTAACTGTTTATCCTTCTATATGTACGTTATTTACCTCTATTATTCAGATATTCGGTATTCACTGAGCTGATATCTCTTTACTTAACTGGAATTTCTTCAATTTTGGGAACTATACATATTACTACTGCTGCGATTACCACCGTAATTAATTAAAATATTAATTCTAGTTAAATTTAATACATCGACAAGCAAGAAATATTCAAAATGGAATACCAGCACAATCTGCAGTAGAGATGATAAATTTATATCAGTACAGTACAGTACTATAAACTAATATTATAAGATAAGATAAAAGATCTGTTGTTGGCTATAATATATACAACATATTGTAAACAAGATTTTAGGATTGTAAAAATTTTCTTTGCTAAAAAATTCAATTTGATGATTATTAGCGGACCGTTTCATTGCCTGTCTGGTAAAGATAACATAGGTAGAGCTATTAAATCTCCTAATTTTACTTGAAAGGCCAAATATTATAACAAGAACAACATATACCTCTATAATGGAAACAATGGTTATTGAAGCTAACAACCCGCTGGCAAGTTTAATGACATGATAGCAACCAATAGTTATCTCTGAGTGGAAGTTGGCATATTATACGTATTTTCCTAAGTGTTGTATTTATTTTTGTGCTCAAACCTACAGGCTCTCTAATTCCGGCTGGAGATTTGTCACTGTCATGCTTTCATGATCAAATATTGGTTACAAAACCATGTCTGCAGTGTATCGCTAAATAGCAATACAACGAACATAGTGATGGCTAATCACTGGGTTATGCACAATATGTCGATATTGATATAATATATGTTACATGTAATGAACATAATACTTATTTATATAAAACATTTATTTTTATCAAATTATATTCATGTATATGTTGTGGTGTGAGAAAATTTTAATTATTAGAATTACTTATATACAAATTTTTGTTTTGTGAACTATTTTTTCTATTTTTTTACAACACCATCCGATAAGTCAAAATATAAGCAAAGCGGGACAATATTAAATTTAGTTTACAATCATAAAATATTTACTTTATTTATTTTATTTATTTTATTTTAATTGGTATTATTGAAAAGATACTTCTTAATTACACAAAAGGTCTTAGGTGACTTAAATGAGGCGCTATTTCTTTCTTTTGTATATAATACTTTTTTAATTGAGTTTATTTTTATAAACTCTCTCTAGTTGTTCCCGTCTCCCACTCCTCCTCCTCCTCCTCCTCCTCTTCCTCTATTCTGAATTGCATTTGCTAACGTTTTGATTTAACTTCAAGTGTATCTCAACATAAATTTCCTATCTAGACTATTTATTTACATATTAAACGTTTGTCGCTTGCTGCCATTTGTTTCCACACTTCCTCATTTCAATTGACCTGACATTTGCGCTACACATCTCTCCCCACCGACTTCATACTAAGACTGACTCACTACTGAGGCACATATGCTCACGAACGCGACTGGTTGGTGATAACGACCAACACAGCGTATCTGCACAAGCGAACAGCTCGTCGTGCCCATTGTAGTGCCCGCCATAGACCATCGCGGGGCAGTCGAGAATTTCGCGTCACTTTGTGCGATACGCATTCGAAGAATGCAAAACAATCTGAAAGTACGTATATTTCGCCTAATAATTAAATATATTTGAAATTTAGTTTTGTTGTGGAAGGCGAAGTGAAAACATCAAACAGAACGAATTAAATAATTTACACTCGCGTTCTCTAGTTGTTAGTTCCGTTGAATTTTGTTTTTGTAAATAATGTTTGAGTGATAAGAAAAAATAACGAAATATTAAAATTTTTAATTCAAATTCGTATAAAATCCATTGGTGAAACACTAGCCATGATGTCGTCTTCGAATAAATACAAACTGTAGAACTCGAACGAAAAGCGAAAGTACATCCAGTAAACAAACTCCACAGACCACAAACTGCCAGAAGTAAATTTGTGATATCGCAAAATCCCCTCTTCCGCACTAAAAAATGTCCGGTTCATACGCTTACGATAGCAGTTATTTGCGCACGATTTTTGGAATCCTAAGAATCTGCACTCTGGTAAGCTGAAAGTCCATAATGGCATACAGATTTCGCTGCAATACGTCAGCGTAAAAGCGTAAAAATGTAAATTGTTTTAATGTGTATTTTTGTATATTTTTATGTTTAGCTGTGCAGTCTTATCGGCTTCAATTGCATCATCTTCAGCTCCGTGCCTGTACACAATTTCCGCGGTTGCTTTTACATTTCGGTGGCAGTTTTTGGTTACTGCTGCAGTACCGTCGTGTTACTGGCGCGGCTCTTCCAAGTCTGGGAGCGTAAATTTCACAACTTCCAAGCATTTAAGTATGAGACATACTTGCACTCCTTCCTAGCAGTTGCCTTCTTCATAGCGTCTGCACTGTCATTGTCCTTGGCGGTAGTTACATACTCAGTTGCCACAGTAAGTACTCTCGAGTAATTCTCAAGACATTTTGACACTTTTTACACTTCTTGGTGTAGTTTCAGTGACACTAATTCTACTTCTTTTAATTTTGCAGTTTTTCGGTTACCTTACATCGTGTTTTTATGCCGCTGACGCATATCTAAGTTACCGCCAGAGTAGAATATGTAATGCTGCCACACAAACCCCAGAAGTCGGTTGGGTTGTGTAGTCGAACCTCATACATATGAACACGATAAGTTATATATATTTTGAAAAATATATATATACATATTGGTTTGTATCTTGTATCTTGTATATTTAAGCATTTAAGTATTTTTATAAAATTTCGAAATATTTTTTCATTTTTATGTGCTAATTGAACGAACATGTTTAGGTAAATAAATAAATTTTATACTCAATATAAAGACTAATATTTATACCAAAAATTATAAAATTAAACACTACATATGTTAAAAACACATACTTGTATATATTTTACTTGATAAGATAAATTAATAAAACAATTTAATGAAATCTCTTGAGTATGCAAATTATTTTATTTTTTTTTAGAGTAAATATTTTGTGCCAAAGTATTTATTTATAAGATAAAATTATATTTTAAATTAAACACCATTAAAAAACTAAACACCATTATGCATACACATTAATTATAATATAATACGTATATAATAAATATTTAGATATAAACAGATCTATAAAATTTCTGTTAGTGCATATAGTTCTATATTTATAGAGCTATAAATATAGACCTCTGTATTGAAGGTGCAAATTTTTGCAAACGCTCGACCGGTTCTGTGAGTGTGAGTTTTACACACCAAACTACAAACTAACATAAACATACTTTCTCAAATTGCAGAATTTTAAATCTAACACTGAGAGGTGCTAAAAGACCCAATGGAATGTTATCAGTAAAAGGAATATTCACGAGACATAGATTCAAGAATATCTAAGGGATTAGAAGCCCAAACAAATTGTACAGAAGAAGATACCGGGTAATGTGTTGACTGCCTGATTAATGCACAAAATTTTTTTTAAGAAGTTATTGCTATGAGAAAGCCGCTAAATTATTCTGCACAGGAAGAGAAAGCAACTCAATGTTTAACATCTATAGTCTAACAGCAATAAAAACACTAACCTAATGGGTACGTTTAGAAATGGATAAACGTGGACTACGTAAGAAGAGTAGCACCAAATAGATGACTGTATACTTGTAGCTATGGTATACAGTATCGGGCCATAAATGCTTTGAAGAAAACAAGGTAGCTCCTATTAAAAATGTATATATTGAAATTCACAAAGATACTAAAACATATCTCTGCAACATAAAACACCGTTCTCGTTTTACGGTTTGAAACAAATTCTTTTTATTTTATTTAAGTATACACAGAATAGTGTTCTTAAGGTAACCTTAATTTCTACACTAAGAGAGTGAGAAAGTGGGAGATATATCAAATACTAAAAGGAAAGTAATGATATGATGGAATAGTTACAATAACTGTGAAACTGCAAAAGTCTTGTGGAAATCAAACGACGAAAGGCATAACAAATTTTTACTAACGTTAATATAAACTGTCATATGTGTCTTGATTCCCCAAGAATCCACAAATAACAAGCTGTACAAGATTAATATCACCTGAAAGTGACGTATGGAGGAAAAATAGAAAGCAAGCACTGCGTGATTCCGAATGCATCTAAAATGGTGGGTCTACAATTTGAAAATTTAAAGGACGTCGCAGAAACGGAATTTTAAATTTTTCTGAGGTATACACAACCTGTTGATATCACACGATTTACCAAATTTCAACCTACTAAGACTGTTGAATTCCATTTGATAACGCTATGACTCAATGGGTCTGAATATCAGTTAAGATCGAGTCTACTGCTTAATATGATCTATTGTGTCTTACGTGAACACTGCGTATATTGCGTGAACACTGCGTATGTTTTTTACCGCAAGTGTGCACTGGACTTTAATCTCATATAACATAAAGTAATATTAAGTGCATGTACATATTTTGAAGATTACGTATTCTATTCTAACAGTTCTTCCGTTCATCTTCACACATTATTACACATTAAAAACTATTAGTCATAGTATAGTAATGAAAAATCTTGGAATTTAATGCAAAGAACTTATAATTTAAAATGAATAATAACAAAAGTATGTAGAGAAATTGTGTGAACAGTAATTTAAGTATATTATATCATATATAGTATATATCAACCAGCCAGTGGATGCAGGATTTTATGGATACGTCCTTTAGATTTTGGATTGGGCAGAAGACAGGTATTTTGAACAAATTTGTTTGGTTAGTTTAATTAATGTTAAATGTTTAGTTAGAACTTTAAACCTCAATATCTCTTCTGCAGATATAAGCTTAAGTTTTATATAATGCAATGGAAAAAGTTTTAAAAATAGCTTACTTCACTTCGTTATCTTAAAATTTTTTGCTAAATCAACGTGACAGGGAATTTAAAATCACATTGGACCAATAAGGGGCAGATCCAACCTACATGTCACACTATTGTTCAGGGTTCCGAGAAAGACAACAGTGTTTTTTTTGTGTGAGTAAAACCCTTAACAACCACTTCAAGAACCATTTTAAAACCCTTAACACCCACGTCAAGAATCATTTTACTGGGCTGTTGTGGAAAGATTACCGTAATATCTATTAGTCTGTGACAGAAACGCATCATGAGCCAGTCATCATCTGTGATTGTTAGAAGCAGAAAGTGTTAAAGGAATTTTTTATGTATATGTGACATCAGTTTAGTGTCAGACATATTTAACGATATTTATATCTTTCAAATTTTGAATATTTTACATGAACGCCAAAAAATATGCAATATTTTCTTTTATAAATAATGATCGTTTTTGGAATTGGGAGTGCTTTAATGAAATTTTGGAGCTATATAGAAATCAATATATGAACTACTTCTATATACGCCAATAGTTCTACATCTACACGAGACTTTTTAAAAGGGTACTATCTTCCTTTTTACTGAAATGAGATATCGGTCATTGGTCCCATATCTGCACATAATGCAGCGGACACTACTTGTATTAAATCATAAAGTAGCCCAGTATACATTAAGACCGAAAAGTTTTCGGAAATTCTCATTTAAAATTCGCGCGCTGTATATTTTTCGATATTTTAAGTTTATGTAGTTTGGCAGCACTGTCCTTAATTACTATGCCAAAAATGAGCGCGATCTGTCAGACAGTTCGTTTACGGCAGCTGTTGAAACCAGTTCACCTCAGTAGGGCGTTGCGAAAAAAACAATGGAAAAAAATATTGAACAAAGAGTTTGCATCAAATTTTGTGTTTCGAACGAAATTTCGTGTGCAGAATCGTTGCGAATGCTACAAAAGGCTTATGGGGAATCAGTTTTATCGAAAACTCAAGTTTATGAGTGGTACAAAGCCTTCCAGGACGGTCGTACGACCGTCGAAGACATTTCGCAACGCACTACTGAGGTGAACTGGTTTCAACAGCTGCCGTAAACGAACTGTCTGACAGATCGAGCTCATTTTTGGCATAGTAATTAAGGACAGTGCTGCCAAACTACATAAACTTAAAATATCGAAAAATATACAGCGCGCGAATTTTAAATGAGAATTTCCGAAAACTTTTCAGTCTTAATGTATCTCTCTTAACTTTACTGTTACTAAAAGGAACTCGTATTTTTATCTCTCTCTATAACTATAGCTTCAGGATCCCAAGTTGCTGAGTCATTTTTTACCTTAAGCTAACTCACCTAATATCCACATCACATCATAATAGGTTAACCCTATTGTATTATATCTTTTTGTCTTTTGGGTCTAAAGCAAATCAACTTGCAAATATTAAGTCTTTCATTCATTACTTCATTGAGATAGATATTGGTCTATTGGTTCTATATGGACTCATATTCTCTTTTCGAGTTTCATTACTGAATTGCGATAACTGAATCCGTTTACTCCGTTAAAATAATGGAATAAAAGTCTCATAATGAAGTTTTTAGGGTTTTTGAAAACAAGTTTTCAAGGTGGACTAGACTTCAGTTGAATTTATCGTATATAACTGACTTAACATTTTTTAAACTGAAAAGTTGTTAGATCTTTTTACAGTATAAGTAAGATATGGTCATATATTTTTGTTTGTGTTTATACTATATAAACCAGTTCATCCTTCTCTACGCTTATTGCAGAAGTCGCAGATAGTGTAATATTATTAAAAAATAAAACCTTTTACTTACGATTTCATTTAACATTATCCGCTTGGTTTTAAGAACATATGTTAATCTGCTTTAAATGAAAATTTTAATTCCAGATAGGGTGTATGATTACTCCCTTCTTCACACTTAACACATGAACTTGGGTTGAGTTGAGGAAGTAACTGGAGTGGATGTGTTTAAATGTACATAAATCTTTGGTTTTTAAATTTTCACATTTCTGATGAATGTTTTTTATTTGACGAACTTTGCTCTCGCTCATGTTGATTGATGTTACTTTATAATCATTAATATTTAAAATCGTTTATATCAACAAAAGGGGGAAGTACACTCGTATTACGTCGTCGGTTATACCTTTGCAGTGAAAACACTGAGCCAACAGAAGAAACTTCGATGCGGAAATTGAGTTCTTCGCGCGATTTTTCCCAACAAAAGCGGAATTGAGTTATTGTTTTTTTATTTCGCCTGCCTTAAAAATGGCGATTTAAGTGCCGTTGAAAGTACCGGAGTCGGCTATGGCTATGGCTGACTCCACGATGTACACAGCATACACAGCATTTATGTGGCCAATGTGGCAAGTAAAGCCATTAATCACAAAAAGTTTTAAGCCAAAAAATTTAAATTTAAATTTACATATCGCGAAACCTTGTAACCGTTTTCTGTTTTTATTTGTAATCCTTGTTGACATTTCCCAGGAGCCCCACTCATATGTGGCAAGTTCAAATGCGTGCAAATATGTGGCACAAAGGACGCCTGATGAAGTTGTTTGTTGTAATTACGTTTAATTAATGCGAAATAATGACAGTATTTATTTTTCTCCCAAATGCCTACGTGATTATCATTAAAAAACAATACAAGAATTATTACATATTTACTACGGTAATATATGTATTTAGTACATAAACTACAGAACAACTTTTATACGAGTATATAATTCATATTTTCTTACGAAACGTGATTTTTTTTTATAGAAATCCATAAAAAAAGTGCGATGTTTTTAATCCTTTTTCCATGGAAGTCAATTGATCTTTGCTTGCTTTTCTCGGAAGGCAAATCAGCTTAATTGAACACGTGCAGGAAATTGGGTCAAATGGTCTGTGGATAGAAGTGAAGGAATATGCAGCAGTTGTGCAATAACCAATTAGACGAGAAGGAGCAAAAATCAAATGTGGCAGCATATC